TTTTTTTTTTTTTTTTTTAAGATATACAAGTTAGTTAACTTAGTTATAACAGGTAAATCAGAGCCAATGAGGAAAATTTGGGTGATCCAACAAAACTTTAAAATGCATTTCTTAAAAAATTTATAAACAACACAAATTAAATAACCTTCTGGCTCACCCATATGACGAGTTTGTCTTCTATAAAAATAAAATAAAATTGAACAACCATGTGCATTTTTTTTTAAAAATAGTACGTATACATTTTATCTCGTAAAGATTAAAAAATATTATTTTAAAATTACGTCATTTTAATAAATATTTATTAAAAAAATTTTTTATTTTTTTAAACATGAATTATTATGTTTTTTATTATTTTTTCACTTAATTTTTTTTGAAAGTAAAACAAACAAGTATTAATTTTTTTAAAAATTATATTTTAAAAAAAAATTAAACGAACTATAAGCAAACGACAGTCAGTTGCAATATGTGACCCACAAGATATACCCAAATAATCTGGCGCCAAAAACCGATTCGTGTTTGAGTCTCAACGGGCCAACAAGCCATTGCCTGTCAATTCCTTACACAACAACGTATAAATTCATCTATAATTCAGGAGAACAAGACGAGAAAAAGACTCCCTCTTTTGATTTTTACGTGATTCCACCGCAAAAGGGCACTTTCAATTCTCTGAATTCTGTCCAAGCTGACAAGGTAATTTGCAAAATGTCTCCTTTTTTTCCCAAATTTTCCACTCCACGGTGTTTCTTTTCTTGCTATCCTTTGCCTTTGCGCTTTGTTTGATTGCAATGCTTCAATTTGCCAACACCAGGTTTGCCTGCTTTTGGGTTATGGTTTATTTGGGTGAATTGGATCAATTAATTCGAAATTGACTCAATCTTGCTTTGGCTAGTTAAAAATTGGTTTTTGTGTAAATGGGTTTGAGGAATTAATGGTTTTAATTGATAAAAATTAGATCTTGAAGATGACAGCAACAGAAAACATGAAAAATGGGACAATTAGAATATGTATTGGTTGAGATAATGAGGCTGTAAAAACTACAGGTTTCATTAGGTGATTATTTATTTTATGTAATGCAAAAAAGACCCAACTTTTTGCTAGGATTAGGATAAAACTGCAAGACCACCTTTCCCTGGGATTCTATCGGGGATAATTTGGCCAGTGACACAGACACGGTGTTCCCTGTTCTTTTAATTTGATCCCTTTGATTATCTTTTTAGGAAGGTACATGGAACTGTCAGAAAAAGAGCTTTCATCAGCTGAATTCAAAGCTACTCGAAGTAACTGGATACAATATTCCAAAGAGCATTGTAAGCATCTCCCTCCGGGCTCTGTTACGGAGTTCAAATGGAAGGATTACTCACCTGCAGTTTTCAGGTATTTTATTTTATTCATTTCCTTTTCATTCAATCAGGTTTGGTTGTTATTATTGCTCTCTATTTTGGTTTGCATCAGTTTTTCTAAATAGATATTCTGTCAAATTGTACTTATAACAACTGTCCAGGAAAAGGAAAGATGCAGTTGATGTGCATATTTGATATGTTTTTCAGACTTATACAAGAGCTTGAAAAAATTGACAACAACGAATACGAGCAGTCAATTTGTAGTGATGATACTGTAAGAAAGGTCTGTTCATTGGCAAGACCTGGCAGCATGTGCCTTTTGTCCAAAGATGACAGATTTACAATAAAAACCCTGAGGAAATCTGAAGTGAAGGTAACAAAGTAAACCTGGTAATATAATCTCTGGTTAATTAATAGTGTAAAGTGTTTACTTGCTTTGAGATATTGTGTCATTATTATTTTTCTTTTGATTTAGGTTATCATAGGAATGCTTCCAAGCTACTATTGCCATCTGAAAAAGTTTAGCAACACCATGTTGAACAGGTTGTATGGAGTTCATGTTGTGAAGCCAGTTGGAGGAATGAAGGTAAACCAGTTGAAGAAAGATTTTTTACTCTATATTGTGTAGCAAGAATTTTATACTTAGAATTGGATTTATTACAAAATTCTCACCATCTGCTAGCTTTCTTTTGATGCCTGGTAATAACTAAAATCATGGTTGAAAACCTTATGCCATTTCCAATAGAGTATAAATCATTCTCTATCATATATTGCTTATTCTGATGCTATTACTGATATGCTTTAATCTTGACTTTATAAATAGGTATACTTTGTTGTTGGATCAAACATTTTCCAGTCTGATAAATTGATGCATAAGTGTTATGACCTCAAAGGCTCATTACAAGGTCGAAGTGACAACAAACTAAGACTTCGAGAAAAACTTATTCTAAAGGATCCTGACTTCGATTTTCGCTTTTACCTTGACCCATTGATCCGGCATCAGCTTTTACTGTAAGTCCATTGTTCTACAGTATACTGTATTAAAAAAGGCCCTTTATGAATGTGTTGTTTTTAAAATAAAGTGCTTCAGTATGGACATGTTTTCAAGTGAACTTCTACTGCATACAATATATGTTTGAGATATGTCTTCTAGGTTTTTCTTGGACTCTTACAGACGCAGTTAATTGAATATCTTCTCAGATATACATGCATTATTAAACTCGAGGAAATATAGACAGGGGAATTAATCAATCCTCAGCCCTCCTCCACTCCCCCCT